AGGCTCAACTCGACCGTTGGGCCGAGTCGAATAAGATCAACACTAACAAGGTGAGCTAGGTGAGTGAGATTAGTTCAACTTGTCCAAAAGGCAACCGCACTTTTCCATGGGGACTGAAGGCTACCCTTGTCTGCCACTTTGCATGCTTCTAGTTCTACCACCAGATGGATGAATGGCCTGGCCGGCCCATGGAAAACACGAGAGGGCAAAATACTTTTCATCCCTGGCAGCTGCACCTAGGGACTCATGTTACATTCACTCAGGGATATCACGGTGCTGCTGAAGCCTCCAAAAATCTTCTACAGTACTGTACTATATATCAAGTGCATGTAGACATGTTGATTCCTTGGACGATGCATGTTTGGCAGCCATGGAAGCCATGCATGGGGGCTGTATCCCAAGCCCCTACAGTGCTGTCTACAAGCCAAAAGGCAGCGGGCGAGAGTGACATGTGTGTGTACACTGTAGTATGAGATGAGAGCAGAATTAGAGGGGGTTACGTTTCAGATGGATACGGTCTCAATCTCATCTCATGCAGTGCGACAAGAATATTGGGAACCTGATCGATCCAAGACACACTTTACTGACAACCAAGCAGCTTGTGTGCTCCAATCGGGCACGTCTCTCTTGTCTGTCCTCACACCATTGTTCCCCAATCGCGTCGCGACAGAGACAGGCTCTGATGAACTGCACCTGTCGACGATGAGCGAGGCGATATGCGTGAACACTGGACAACAACCTTTCAGTAGCAGCTAGCATCTTGTGAGCTGCGACTTTGTTAAAGCATGCATCTGACAAGTGACAAGGTTTGTTTGATGAGCCTGACTGAACTGAACCAGCGCACATGGTGGAAATCAGGTGCTTGTTTCGTGGACGGGAGTTGTGCATGCCATGCATGCATGATGTGGGAGATTCGTCGTCGTCGATTAGTACCGGTAGCTTGATTGATTAGCCGCCATGGGAATGAGTTTGCTGGGACTGCTGCTTCGTCTGCTTGGCATCTTCCTGACTTTTTATCCTGTTTTGCTTTAGCAAACACGCTATCTTTCCTTTATGTCCCATGTCTTCGATACGTACTGCAGTATTGTATGGTTCATGAATTTGCTTTGCTACATTTGGCAAAAGTAAATCAGAAACTGAAGGTCTGAGTTGATCCATCCATGGAACATGGAAGGTCTAGCAGAGAATTTTTGTTTGCTGTAAAAATTATCTGTGATGGTAATATTTATATCAGGAAATACTAGTAAGTGAAGTTCAGGAATCAAACAAATCTAGTATCAGTTTAGTTGCTCTAGATTGGGTCCAACAAATTCACTAGCATAAAGAATTTAATGTCCTCTTGTGTCTTGTCTATTAGCTGAGAATTTTGCTTAGTTCTTTAATGCCTCTCTCTCTCAAATCTTGTATGCCAAAGACCCTTGCATACAATGCTAATATGATGTTCAGTTGACCTTGCGCCTGCCACAGTTCCTCGCCAATCAAAAAAAAAAAAAAAAAAGAGAAAGAATGCTCTTGTCCAACACGTGTGACTGTGTGAGTTCAGAAAATTATTCCAGAGCCTACGGAAGTGCGTTAAGAAAGTGAAACGGAAACATTTAAAAAAGAGCCCTCGAGGAAAAGGTGCAAAGCAATGCGAAATCATGGAACTCTAATTTGTACTGGCATTGAAACTGAAGACATGTGACGTGCTAGAGAAAGTAGTGCAACTGCTGTTCGAAAGGGCCATGCAACTTTATCTCATATATAGGTACGGTACTGCCTAATCATGCCGACACTATGCAACGCCCTACAACTACAAGAAGTAGGATAAATTTTGAATATTAATCGCTAGACTGAGCCTTATGTTATGGACAATGCAAAGGCATAAAGAGGAGGCTTAATGCAGTCGAAACACTTACTTGCCAACTAGTGTCATCAAGATCTCCCAACTCTTAAAATACATATTGGGGTCCCAATTCCCAAACTTTCTAATTCTTCATATGAGATCCAAATCTCTAACTCGTGCTAAATGGGCAAATAAAATGCACTTGCGGACATTAAATTTAGCTATATAAGTGTCATCTAGGTTCCTAAACTCTTAAAATACATGTTGTGATCTGGACTAAAGACGCGGGAGAACGTGGCGGCCATCTTGTTCTACCTATCGTCTTGACGCTGGCGCAACTTATCCTCAACAGCGTGTGCCCGTGTGTCATGGTCAGCCTCTATGGCAACCATAGCAAGGCCGTCGCCGTTAGCGCCAACGCCATTGCGACTCTTGCGGGCCCTATTTGTTGACTAGGATGATCTTGCTAGCGACGCCATGGCCATGCTTGCCGCTTTCGAGTCTCAAGTAGCACCTGACGGGTGTGCAGGCCACGGCCGAGCTTCGTCATTATTAGCTGCGTTGTCGTCGAGACACTCACTATGTCACTAACGGACCCGTTTGGACATGTGATGGAGCCCGGGCCTAGTTCCTATAGTTGGATCACACTCCCAACCAAGTCTAAGAACTATGACATGTATTTTATATATATGCATTTTGGGAGTTTAGAGACATACTAAACGACACTCCAAACCAAGGTTTAGTTCTGTCGGTGTATTTCTGTTATTATTATTACATTACATTATTGTGTTACACCTAAAAAATATGAAGGGGTTTCATCCAACTCCCTTGGTGCGCGCGCGACGTTCTCGGTTCCCTCCCTCGCGTGACGCGTCTAAAGGAGTTCGCTTAGGATCCGTCTGCGCCGTAGAAGAATCGGTCCAAGAAGCGCCGCCCGCGCGAGGGCTCGTGCCTTGTGGACCTGCCAAGCGGGTTCGCTTTCATCGCCTCGACAGAGAAGGCGGGGGTGGGAGACCTGCGCGCGACGGGCAGCTCCACTCGGCCACCGAGAGCGAGGTCGGCACTGCCTGGAGAGACACCCATGCGGTCGTCTGCCTCCAGACGCGCGGGCGCAGAGGCACGCGGACGGGACGATTGCGAGACCGTGAAGGAAGGAGTCCGCGTGCGGTGCTGTTCGGACCAGCGACAGTGGCGATTGGCCCAGCGCGCACCCAGGCGGCGGCGGCGCTTGGCAGGCCGCAGCCGGACGCGTGGGCACGGAGCGACGCGGATGGGCGAGCGCAGATGCGCGCGACGGAGCCAAGGCCGCGAGCCTGAAGGGAAGGAGTCCTCGTGCGTGCTATTTGGATGTGCGTATACGTAGATGGACAAGATAGATAAGGAGAGAGAAACGGAAAAAAGTAAAATAAGTGAGAGAAAAAAAATGAATGAAGAAAAAATAAAGGAAAAAAATATAAAAGGATACTAAAGACATTTCACTGCTTTCAACAGATGAAGCTATTTATCAAACTTTTTTTTTTCTAAAACAGTTTCAGCTATACCAGTGAAGCTGCTCCACAACCCGAAGAAAAAAATTACTCCACCAGTGAAGCGGGTCGTACCAAACGCAATTATAAGAGTTCATGTCTGTTTCTGTGCTTGCATACGAGACAACGCACAACGACTGCACTGAAATTTTAAGAGCTTGTTGAAGTATGATTAGTGTACAAAGTTGGTATGCAAAAATTTTGATTGGCCATGATTAGTCTATTACTCAAAATTTTTCCTCTTTTTTATATATAAGATTGGCCATTGAACTGCAAACGAGGTAACAATTGGACACTGCTGGAGGTGAAAGATACCGACATGGATGGAGTGCCTGCTTAGACGGTCACCAACGGATCGGACCCAAAAACGACAGGTATACCATGCTTTGGCATATGACTTCTTCCAACAGTCGACTCTAAAACATCCGTCGCCTAATCTTGCCGAAGCCGGACGCCATTGGGCGAGCATCGCCGAGCCGCGCCACCGAGCGCCGCCATCCGCGACCATCCGCGACCTTTTCGGCCGGCGGCTTTTTATATATATATATAAGAAAACACGTTTCACTTTATTACTACGCTCACTGCAAACGAGGTAACAATTGGACACTGCTGGAGGTGAAAGATACCGACATGGATGTAGTGCCTGCTTATAGGGCCTGTTTGCTGATGCATGGCGTGGGCGGGTGGCGAAGCCTTTTTGGTATTGCTTGCCGCGGGACGCAAAATGGCAAATGCATCCTGGCCACCTTTAGCGTATTGCCAGCAAATGCATCCGATGCTGTTACATTCTCAATGACTGCAACCTACAGGATAAACACCATTCATGATCCGGATAAAACTGTGATTAATTTACCACCACTCATGCATTACACAGTTTTAGCTGGTTTTCAAAAGTTTACAGCAAAAATGGTCCAGCAGATTCTCATACTTAACTGATGGACGTTAGACACCCTGTTCGCTTGATCGTTTCTACGGCTTATAAGCCGGCTGCTGCTGTTTTGGTGTGAGAGAAAAACACTGTATCATAGCTAATAAGTATGACTGATACAATCAATCAAACATGGTGAGAAAAATGCCGATTCTTGGGTCTACTAAACCAGTATGGGGTCCTTTAATCACAAGAGACCCTATTACAGAACCAAAATTAAACGGGAAGCAGAAAACTGCTGTACCTTCGTTAGCATGACCATGAGCTGTTTGGTTGGCTGACATTCGAATCCCCAGCTTGAATATAATTTATGTTTACTTCTCACATTCAGCGAGCAAATAATAGACAGCAGATTTTGTGTTTTTGCTCAGTGGCACACAGTGTTGCAAAAATCAATACAATAGGTTATCCTAATATTTGTCAAAAGGCAACCTCATATGTCTAACTACTACAAAAGAGGGGAAAGGAAAACCTATCCGCTTTACAGAACCAGTGCACTAGAACTACCACATGATAAGTCATCTATCTAAAACTAACAATTTACAAGATATACGAGTGGTAAAACTGCCTGTATGAAAATGCAGCCATGCTTAGTAATTTCATATACTGCCTAAGAAATCAGAAACTGAATGGTATCTGTCATAAATTTTGTCAAATCTCCACACTCTGAATCAGCAATGGATTTGAATGTCTAACTTCAGTTTCTTCAATTGTCTAGCTTTCAATACTTTCGTTTTCTGAGTCTAGGTTTCCTCCCTATCCACGAAAGATGGCACCCCAGTCCTGTGGTAGTCTCAACAGAACTGGTCTTTTGCACAGTCTCAGCAGAATTGATGTTTTGTGCCTTCGCATGCTTCACTGGCTCAGCTCTACGCATTGTAGCAATCTCATCAGGTTTGCTGTTCTGTGCAGCCTTTGTTTTCCGCATTGGCTGCTTCCTAAAAGTTGTGGTAGTCTCAGCAGAACCAATCTTCTGCTCTTTGTCAGTCTCAACTGAATCGATCTTCTGCTCTTTGTCGTTCTTGACAGAACTGTGCTTCCCACTGCTGGTAATTTTCTTCATCAGCTCATCTAAATCATTGGTAATTAGGTCCAGAGATTCAAAAAAGTGGTGCTCGTCATCACTGCCAATCTCAGACTACAGATACAAATAGAAGAAAACATGTTAGGAGTTGCCAACAGATAACACAGTGATCATCAACAAACTAGGTATATTAGCTTACATTTGCTTCAAGTTCAATGTACTGAAGACCTTTCTGCACGATTCTGATCAAGGCACCTTGTGGGATCATTCCCTGGATGTTGCCTTTTCCAATGCCTGCCTCATAGAAGAAATTGAATGCTGTATGCACAAATCCTGCGATTTCATATGGAACAAATAAAGCATTTAAACATGGAATACTTATTTTTCAGATTAGATCTTACAGTAATTTACATGCTTTAAGGCACAAAAACCTAAACAATCAGCTAGGTTCTAGTGAGCACGCAGAGGTGCTAATTATTTAGTTAGAACCTGACAAAGTATCCAAGAAACAATTAAGCAATGCAGAAATAATTCCACAACCACTCAATGAAGGATAGTAGTACAAATGATGCCAATGTTTTATTACTACATTAGATACTGTTCTTTTCTTTAACTCTAAGTTGCCAGGAACTGTACAGATCGGGCTGATTTCTGTTTTGGAACTGTGAGTTGTTCGGTTTTTTGGGTCCCTTTTTTTCCCTAAAAATGGGCCAATTCATTTTCTTATAATAAATTATGCGGCAATGACCTTGTCTCCCTTTCGAGAAAAAATGTTGCCAGGAACCCAAGTGCTTTTAGCTATTTGCATAGACCAAATTATGGGACAACAAAAGAATAATTGCAGAATCAATCAATCAGGGGCGAAAAGTCCAATCTTAAATTATCACGTAAGCAGGCACGGTGGCATGAAAGAAGGAACGCTCCAACCAAGGAAGAAATGTTGCCATTCATTAAGTTCTCCTACCAAGTTTGTATGTACAGTTGAAATCATCCATTTTTCTCTTCATATAAACAAAGCAACAGGCTAACAACACTTTATTATTGAATCCTAATTCCTAACTTATAAAGAATTGCTATGTGGCTACTGCTCAGTTAGTTGTTTGACTGTATAAACAAACATGAAGTAGCTACATAAAGAACCCAAACAAACTTGTTAAATTGGCCCAAAGATGAACCAAGCAGCACATATCCTAATAATCCCTTAAACAAAAGTTAATCATGATTTCTTTTCTTAACAAACCGTGTTCCATACTACAGAGCTCATAATGAACTGAGCACAATATTTTTTCTAACCAGTGTTCCATACTTCTTCTAGCTACTTGCTAAGCAAGAAGAAGCTATACAAGGATGTACTACTGTTGTCTTGAAAACAAAGAAGCGTTGTTTCTGAAAGGAATGAAGCACCGTTAAATTTTTATTTAAATTAGGAGTAAACTCTCTCCTGGTTCAGGTTTATAAAGAAATTAAGATGCACTAAGCAATTTGATGAATCCAACATGACAATGAATGACCCTGACCCGAGCCAACCAACCGAAATTTATGGAACAATGGTTACTATTTTTTTTTTTTTTGTTCTCTCTAGACATAAATCTTCCAGTTTTTCACTCGAACTAAGCAAACCAACACTAATTCTGGTCATTACGTAGATCCCTAACAACACAATGATCAGAATTTACCCATGAAAGAATTGACAAACATGTAATGCTAATACCCGACCGAGATGTGAGAGGATTAGATTATGGTTCTGAAACCTGATTCCTGGAGGTATCTGTACACGGCAGCATTCAGCTCAGTTCCTGTGAGGACCTGAGGACCTTTTTTCTCCATTGGAGACCACACTGAAAGAACCAACTCTTTCTTGGAACCTAGCAAGGTAGTTACAAATTTGGTTACTGAAGATTTGGCAGCTACAATAGTAAGATAATGGTATCTTACCCAAACATTCAGGCAACAAAACAAGTTCTTGGCAATTCTTGTAAAATAAAATAAAAATTAAAATTGGCTGCATCTGATCTCTATGCTGGAAATTCCATGAAGCCAGAAACATCAGAGTTCAGAGGTGCCAAATTTTTGCATTGACTAATCATAGCATTGCCAAAATTTGGTAACAGGCGCACTTGACAACGGTCAAGAATTGGCCAGACTAATTGTCTAATTATTAAGCCAACAGTAATACGGACATAACTTCCCAATTAAAGAAAATTCTGATGCAAGCAGCTACCTGGTGAACATGACCAACACTATGAATTTACCTAATAAGTAATAACTGGGCAATGTTGCAATAACAACCAACAGCTTGGACCTCGGAGAGTTTCATCCAGTCATAATTCATAACTTCCATCTGGACTGAGCAAGCCGAAAGCGGAAGAAGTATTTATGTTTCATAGTTGAGGCTTAACGCGAACTCACAAGCTCCGAATCCTAACCAAAGCGAGGAGTTGACTAAGAAGGATAAAAAAATTAACATAATCCACTGTGCTTATTTACGAACAAACTACGAGAGCTCTGCTTGCTGTCCAAACCGAGAAGAGGAAACGAATGTTGATCAGATAAATGTTTTCTGGGAGAGGCACCAAGAACTCACGCCTTTATCTCGGTGATGAATTGGCATTGGTACAAAGGGATAACCAGTACTGATCTATCTGAGGAAAAGAGAATCCCATTCGTTGTTATCGAGCAATTCAACACTAAAAGCAAGAAAAGCCGATCCTTTTCTTTGTTCATCAGAATTAACCAAGAACCCACAATATATACAATCTAGCCGGTTCGGGGAGTCCAAACACCATTAATAACCAAGAAAGAATGCCCAAATAAACAGTGCGAGAACCCTAGCGCTCCGACATTGGAATTTGGGAGACCAAGAACAAGTGCCTGGCATGCTCCGCGGGCCAATTCGATGAAACCCCAAAGCAAGGAACAAGAAAGCTGGAGTCTCCATCCAAGAAAGAAATAAAGAACCAAGCAACACGCAATTCCCACGGGCGGAGCGGGGCTTGAGGCCAAACCTGAGACGCTCTGGAGGCAGCGGTGCACGGCGGCGGGCGCAGAGGTGGTCGTACGCGACGCGAGCGCCCGCGGCTTCGTCCGGCGGCTCAGGAGATCGTCCGACGGCGCGGCGCGGCGCGAGCGAGAGGAAGAGAGAAGTGGCGAAGGGATTTGGGTATCTTGCCGGTTGCCGCTTGCCGACGAGAAATCTTGGCGGTGGCGCGGTGCGGGGGTTTGGTCTCTTCTAGGCCGGGGAGAGGCCAGAAGGGTAAAAAAAAAAACTAAAAGGAGCTGCTTCCGAGGAGACAGGTTTTATAAGCACGCCCTCGGTAAAAAATAAAAATAATTCTTGATTTTCGAAAGTCAAATAATTTAATCAAACATTATATAAAAAATTTACTAACATCTGTCTGATACCGAAAATTACCTCAACTCTGCATCTAAATTTCCACTATATTCTTTCTTCAAAAAAGGTTTAAATAACTATTTATATATTTTTTCTAAATCTTTTTATTTCTATATTGTTATTAATAAAAAATTAACTTAAATAATGGGTAGCGTGGACGTCCAGACGCCCACGCCTGTCGTGCCTGTTTCGCATGGTGCTGCTGCCTGCTCCGCCTGCTGCATGCGCCCGCATATGCTTGCTGCTACGCGCCTATCAATGCTGCCTTGCCTCGGGATGGAACAGGCATGCTCCACGGGGAGGCATAGTGAAGCCACAGTCTTTTGACGTGCAGCAAAGCGGTTTCGCAATTGAAGAGACCATGTATGTTTAGCAAGTACATGAGCAGTTGACAATATGCATGCTGCTGCATGCCCCGCCTGCGGCCTGCTGCACGTGCCCGCATGCGCCTCCTGCGCCCCTATGCATGCCTCCTGCTGCTACGCATGCTGCTGCACGCGCCTACAGTATTTGTTGCTGCTACGCGTGCTGGTGCGCACGGACCATCTCCGCCTGTGCGCTTTCCGTGCTGGCTAATAAAAACCTTGAAACAGGAAGCATTTATTGCAACATACGGTCTAAAACATATAAAATATTTAGAACATATTTATGCAACATATGTGTATAGCCACTACAAGATATATATAACACCAGATAAAACACTTACAACATACTTGTAAAACAGCTGAAACATTTAAAACATACACTTGGCAACATATGCGTATAATATTCTGTACATACGCAACATCCGGATAAAAAACAATGAAACATTTAAAGATATACTTATACGATATAATCATTCGCAAACGTATCACGATTCTAATAAAAAAACATATAAAATGGAACGCATACGCCATGAGGCTCAATGCCCACGGTCACCCGTCACGAGAACAGCAAATGGCACATGCAGATGCATGCCCCACGCTCATCTCACAATCATTCTCTCTCTTGTCACCGCACATGCATGGGGCCCCACACGCCATATGGCGTCACTGCATTTGCATATGCATAACACTGTCAGCACAGCGCATGGAGACGAGGCGGGTGGACCTCTTGCTATGCTCGTGTCCGAGATTATTATACACTTTGATGCTTGCTTGCGCGTCTCGAGACTCTACACCCCACACCGAACAGAGTGCGCTGTGCGCTGACTCGTGGAAAGGACGAGTGCGGGTCTTGTGACTGCAACACGCGCCCCTATTTTTTTCATGGTCATCACGCCGCGCGGATAGGTCCGTCTGTCCATCTGAACGCCATCAACCAAGCGTTTCCGTCTTTTTTACTATCAGCTCTTAAGGTTGTTCTAAGTTGATCATTGAATCGTGTGTTATTTGTTGCCTCTTATTTATACATGTGACTATGTAATATATATCATGCATGTGTTTCAAAATTTCTCGTTGCTTTTATTGTATTGACAAATAGTGGTGGGTTTCGGGTTTTGGAGTACCAATCGGGCTTGGTGGCGGGGTGGATTTTCACCCAAATCAGTGTTTGAGCTAGGTGATTTCGAGTTTCAAGAAGAGAAAATTAGTTTCTTGCCCTAGAGAAAGTTGCGCTTAGTGTCTTGGCCATTTTTCTTTTGAACTTGACTATTTGGCCCTAAAACAAATTCCGTTTAGTTTCTTGGCCCTTCCGTTAGTTTGATGTTCTAATAGTGTTATCTTGTCCGTGAAATGACTCTTTTACCCTTGGCGCCGGCAGGCAACAACCCAACAGCCTATAGTAGAGACAAAGAGGCCTTTTGGGCTGCATACTATCAATAATTTCCCAAAATAAGAGTACAAAATTTTTCAAGCATAGAATCATTATTTTATATATATATTGTGTAAAGACATATATAAAATATGATTCCATAGTTGAAAAAAATGTTCTCAGAATTTTCTAGTACAAGTTATTTCACGTACAAGTAGAAGATTGTTGCCTTCCGCGCCAGGGTAAAAGAGTCATTTCGCGTACAAGCTAACACCATTAGACCATCGTACAAGTTATAACGGAAGGGGCAAGAAACTAACCGAAATCCATTTTAGTGCCAAATAGGCAAGTTCAAAAAAAAAAAGACCAAGAAACTACCCATAACTTTCTTTAGGCCAAGAAACTAATTTTCTCTTCAACGAACCAATCGAGTTTGGTGGTAGAGGGTGGATTTTCATGTTTCGAGTTTTGAGTTTGGGTTTCATGATCTTGTCTGTGGAGACTCCACTTGACCTGAATCCGTCCCATTGCAATCTCTAACCGGCGCCTCTCGGGTCGCCGTCTCATGGGCGGCATGGACATCGTCATGGCCGTGTGGGGCGAGTGCTCGACCTCCTGCTGTGTAGGATCAGGCACCAGTTCCCGCAACCTGGCCGCACTATAGTATTGTAACGTACGGCATCTCGGATGCTTGGAGGTCGTGGTTGCTCATGATACTTTTCTTACCATGCAGTAGAAAGAATGAACGTGCAGAGAGATCAAGCTTTGCTCAGTTGCTCACATTACAAGAAACAAAAGGTTGCGCATTCCTCAAATGGAACACGTACGTATATCAACATATTGTTGACATGATTTCCGGCTATCAGCAGATAATTTGGCTTGTTACACACTGATTATAACTATACTGAAATTAAACAACCATTACAAAAGTACCAAATCGATCAAAGCACACAATTCACAGAGTCGAAGAAGGCATTCTTATTATGAAATTAAAGACCGAGGCCAGGAAGCAGCCTCCCGGCTAAGCGGATGCCGGTGTCGAGCAGCCCTCGACCTCGGAAAAGCATCCGGTCGGCGAGGTCGTCGGCGCCGGACTCGGGCGCGGGCGCCAGCGCCGGGGCCATGCCGTCGTAGTCCACGGCGTACGCCATCGGAGCCGGAGGCATCGCCGCCGTGTCGTCATCGTAAAGCAGACGGCGTGCGTCGGCGGCGGCCGCCAGCAGACAGCCGACGAGAAGCACGGAGAGGACGCAGGCCGTGGCGAAGCTCCTGGCAGCGGCCATGGTTGGCTTAATTAGCTAGCTTGCGCTCGTTGCCTTCCCTAGATTCTTCACGTAGGTGCTAGCAGCTTGTTGTTTGTCATATGCTGGTGCTGCGCTGCGCAGACGACGGCGCTGTGTGCCGGCCGAGTGACAAGGGTGTCGTGGGTGGGTGTGCAATCCCTCCCCCGATCTTCCCATGTACATATAGCCGGCCGGCCGGGCACAAGAACCTTGCCACGCTCGAGTCGCGTCCATTTGGTGGAAATTTGTCGGTGAGGAGGACACCCGTTCTGGTCACCAACTAACTGCACTAGTTTGCCACCAGCTTCCATGGATGCATGCATGTCGGATGTTGCGCGGGGCAAAACGTGTTAGTTGGTGGACCAATAATACGTGCACCACACAACTCACACTGGGTCCGGTGGTGGTCAGCAGTCAGCTATGCACAATGCATGTATAAAGTTTAGAGCAAAATTCACAGCCTGTCTCTGAACTTGGCCGGCGGTATCATCTATGTCCCTAAACTTCTAAAGTGATATCTGTCGAAAGTGTTATCCATGTCCCTAAACTTTCAAGGTGATCACCGCAGGTCCCTAAACTTAATTGACGGTATTATTCGGTGCCTGAACTTTTAAGGTGATCACCGCATGTCCCTAGACTTGACAAGCAGTGTCATCATTGTCCCAATATAATAATATTAAAAGTTCTAATACTATAATACTACTATTAAAAGTAGCACAATATTATTATAGTATTAATAATAGAGAAAAGTTAATTCTATAATACTACTATTAAAACTTTTAAAATAATACTAAAATTAGAAGTAACTTTTAATAGAGAAAACTTTTAATACTATAGAAATTTTAATATTATTTTAATACTATTAATTATACGTAAATATTAAATTAATTTTAGTATTTTTCTATTTTAGTTTAAGCCTAATATATTTATTGTTGCAAATTATTTTAATACTTTAATTTATATTTTGTTGACGTAAATTATCTTATATAAATAATGATTGATTAATTGACACATGTTGGATCCACGTCTAACGTATAGTTAGCGTGCCATGCCAGCTTATAGAGTAGGTTAGACCACATTGGGACATGGATGACACCACTTGTCAAGTTTAGAGACTTGCGATGATCACTTTGAAAGTTCAGGGACCGAGATGACACCGCCGATCAAGTTAGGGACCTACGGAGATCACCTTGAAGGTTTAGGGACCGGATGATACCTTCTATTGAAATTTAGGAACCCACATATATCACTTTAGAAGTTTAGAGTCCAGGACGACACTGCCAACCAAGTTTACATACCGACGTTAAATTTTGCTCTAAAGTTTATATATATATACCGACCGACTCGACTCGACGAGTGTTGCATATGTACGGCCAGCCATCGTGTAGAATTCAAGTGCTACTCGAGAAAGTCAAACATATAAAAGGAATGTTTTATATTATATTTTGACAAGAAAGTCAAACATAGTAATTCCTTACCATTAATTTATTCTATATCTATTTCTTCTATATCTAAAAATAAAGAGGTAAAATTTTCGGCTATTTTTTTCGTCCACCTTCCCCTAACTAACGGTAGTCGAGAGTTTCTTCCGTTTAAACTTATATGACCCTAGATAGTTAGGACAAATAGATCTCTTCAAGCCTGAATAAACTGAATGGGAATGTGAATTCTAATTCAAATAGAAAATAAATTAGACAAAATCTCATCTTACTTTCTATCTATATAGCAAAGTGTCTTTTTCAACCTGGTTTTTTTACTTCCCATAAAATAATACGCACTAGTAGAGAACATACCTTTGATCCTCGGTTAAAATGGGCTCTAGTTCTGGAATTTTTTATGCCCGGGACTAGAGATACCTTTAGTCCCGGATGGTGGCTCCAACCGGGATTAAAGGTCCCTGCCCAACGACTACTGCGCCAGACAGAGGTGGCAGGAACCTTTAGTCCCGGTTGGAGCCACCAACCGAGACTAAAGGTATACTTTTACTCCCGGTTGGTGGCTCTAACCCGGAGTAAAGGTCTACTCCCGGGCCGTGGCTGTGCCCGGGGTTGGAAAGTTACCTTTAGTCCCGGTTAGAGCCACCAACCGGGACTAAAGGTTTCCCTTTATATCCCGGCCGTCTCCTTCTTCCTCCCCGAGCCCGAGCTAAGCACATTTTGAAGCTCATTGCAATAGTGTTCTTGCTTCCTACCTCCCTCTATTGTTCCTCCATCCATTCTTCGATTCCTCCGTCGATTCTTCAGTTGTAAAGGTTACCAATCTCATACTCTCATTTTTCACCATTGTCTTATCTCATTTTGTTCACTATATATATGATTCTTTATTGTGGTTTTTTTCATTTGTAAGCAATTTGAGCTCAAAATCACTTCAAGCTTGCATATTTACATGAAAGAAGGTTAAAGTAGCTAGTTAAACTTGCGGACCGTGTTCATCTCGGCGACCATGTTCTCTGCCGAGCGGTAATGGAAGTCAAGGAGGAGCTTCCCGTTAAGGAGGAGCTTTGATTCTACGAGGGAGAGCGGCAACGGTCGTGGAAGACCGTGTTCCCTTCCTTGTAGAATCGGAGCTCTTCCGTGACCAAGTACGGTGCCGTCCGGTGGAGAAATGCTCGCCGAGATGATCACGTAAGCAAGTTCAACTAGTACGGATGGTTATTTATTCACATGTCCCGATATCGTCGCAGTAGTCTGTCAATCAACATACCCAAACGTCGTATATATATAAATATAAACGATAATCGATTGTTATGTGTGTGCACTCCCAGTCTTCTGTTAATTTACGAAAATATCATGTGGATTACTTACCTGCCATAGTAAAAGACAAGAACACAATGACCATGGCCACGGCAAGCAGAGTAGTGTTAAACGCTCTGGAAACCTTTAAACTTCAAGCTTGCATATTTACATGAAGGAAGGTTAAAGTAGCTATTAAAAACTAGTATTCACCGTTCATTTGTAGCATGCATAGCACACTTCATTGTTTAGAGATATAGAGAATTTTAGAGTTTTTTAATTTTATTTGTTTATAAAATGAGAAATTTATAGTGTATTAAAAATGAGTATAGAGACTAGTGCCTCCGACTGGTATGACAGATGCAATGCAAGGCCGTGCAATAGGAAGCAAATATGTTCTCTTTTGACGATACGCTCGAACAGCCGGGCCTGACAGATTTGGTGGTTGAACGGGTCCGTCGGCCGTCGCCGTGCGATTGTACGACAAAGAACGGCATCGATCGACCATAGTATTTTATTGTCCGGAGTCCGGTCCGGGGTGCAATGCAACGCAATGACAATTGACAATGCGTTGCTAGGTCAAAATATGGTCATTTCTATGGACTCCGCGACTAAACATTTATTTTAACTTTTTATGATATAAAAAACTTAGAAAATAGTTAGAAAATTATAGAAAATCCGTACTAGTTGAACTTGAGGACCGTGTTCAGCTCGGCGAGCATGTTCTCTGCCGAGCGGTAACGGACATCAAGGAGGAGCTTTGATTCTACGAGGGCGAGCGACAACGGTCGTGGAAGACCGTGTTCCCTTCCTCGTAGAATCGGAGCTCTTCCTTGATCAAGTACGGTGTCGTCCGGTGGAGAAATGCTCGCCGAGATGATCATATAAGCAAGGTCAACTAGTACGGATGGTTATTTATTAAAACATGTTTTTGAGCTATAGTGTATTTAAAAATGAGTATAGAGATATAGATAATTTTATAGTTTCTTAATTTTATTTGTTTACAAAATGAGAAATTTATAGTGTATTAAAAATGAGTATAGAGAGTAGATGGCAACTGCTTCATTGTTTAGAGATATAGATAATTTTATAGTTTCTTAATTTTATTTGTTTATAAAATGAGAAATTTATAGTGTATTAAAAAATGAGTATAGAGAGTGGATGGCAACTACTTCCGGGTCCTTGGTCTCTCATGGGTTTCCAAAGAGACTTAGGTCGGGCCTCCCTCTCATTCCATGTGGCAAGTGTCGTGATGAGACGAAGATTGTGATGGAGTACCGAGTGAAGAAAGAGGGTCCCAACAAGAATCGTATCTTCTACAAGTGTCCGGATCGCAATGTGAGTTATTTTATCGTATTTAATGATTATGGTTAGTTTATACCTATTTTCATGATGGTTGTGAGTAAAGTTCTAATTTTTTGTTTTAATTTCAGTGGGATGGCAGTGAACGATGTTCAGGCTTCTACTGGGAGGAAGAGTATGTTGAACTCGTGCAAAAATATCTTGCACAACAGGCAGATACGGTGGCTAATGAGGCAGTGATCCAGCCAAAGAAGCCTAAAGATGTTACATAATCGGGGGATCTGTCTGTTTTAGTTGAGATTGGTCGCGAAATCCTTGTGCTCCTGAAATATATTTTAGCTTTAGTTCTTTTAGTGGTAGTTGAGATTGTCTACATTGTAGCGATGCTTTCATAAATTTGTACCTTTTGTGGTGGCACGCATGTTGTATAAATAATTAATTATGATCTAGGTTTTAATATGGTATTTATGTTATGTAATGCAGATGAGCCGGCATTGGATGTACAATACTGATCGCCGCTCCCAAGAGTTCATTGACGACGTGCATTCTTTGTTACGTGCGGCCAAGGCAAACAAACGCGACGGTTTCATGTGCTGCCCATGTGCCATATGTAAGAATATGGTGGAATATCCTTGCTTAAGGACTCTTCATTCACACTTGTTCAAGTCGGGTTTCATGCCAAACTATATTTGTTGGACGAAGCACGGAGAAACCGGTGTTGTAATGGAAGAAGGTGAAGAAGAACAATGGGACGACAATGATATTATTCCCGATGGTGCGTGCTTCAATGATACTGCAATGGGAGAAGCTAAAGAAGAGGTAGCCATAGAAGATGAGCCGGCTGATGATCTTTGTCAGGTCATTCATGACGCACAAAGAGAATGTGAAAGTGAAAAGGAGAAGATCAAGTTCGAGCGGATGCTAGAAGATCACAAGAAATTGTTGTACCCAACTTGTGATGCAGGG